GCCGCCCGGTGCTCCGGCGGAGCAATTTATATTTCCTTATTGGCCTGTGCGTGTGTATTTCTGACATTTCAGTTGAATCGCCCTGGCCCCGCCCCCTTTTTCCGCTTTTTTTCCGCCCGCCATCATTACCATTGGGATTCCACACTAGCGCCCAATTTATAAACGTTTGGCTGTTCGCCTTATCTCGAGACTCGCGACTCGAGATCCTGGGATCCTTCTGCAGGACACTTGGAGAAAAAGAAGGCAGGGCTGAGGACAAGGAATGCCCCGGCCGAGGCAGAAATTTATTTCAAATTGAAAATTCTTCTTCTCCAGACGGGAAAAATCCATTTTCCGCCTCCTCCTCCTCCTTCTCTTCATAGCATTTCCAATCCGAATTCCATGCCGCGGAGTGCATATCTTAGGAGGTAGTATTACTTGGAGTACATAAAGTAGATGGGGAAACTATCCAGGCAATCAGAAGTTGACTTTGTGGCATAAGCGGCGGTCATAACTCACGCAATCCCCGCTCAGCATATGGAAAAGAGGAAAACCGGGGAAAACGTTCAATTTTCAATGAGCACTTTTCGCTGCAAAGTGGGTGGATGGGTGACAAGGCCGCCCTGCAATATTAATGCCGCCCCAGGAGCAACGCCCAGAACGTTAAGAGTGTCAAACCGAGGGACCCACGGACTGGATTGACCAGCGGAGACATCCCAGATGGGGACATTTGGGTCACCACCACTCGACTCGACTCACTCTTAATTATTCTGGTCACATCTGTTATGTAAACTGCGACCGGGCCATAAAATGGCAAAGGCGGCGCCCGAAAAAGACAAAGGCCCCGAAAACTTGGGAACGACGGGATGAGCATGAGAACCTGCCCCTCGTGCGTTGCAAAAATTAAAAACGAAAGCCACGCACTTGGTTTTTCTTTGGATCCCTGGGAGGTGGAAAGGAGAATGAGTCCGTTGCCCGAAGGCTGAGAGCCCGGGACCCATAAATAAGCAGCCGCTTGTCCTGCAGCTCCAAAAGGAAGAGCCTTAATTTTTAAAATGCTCTGGCCCACATAACACCTTTTTATATTGTACGAAAAGGTGGGCACAGTGGTGTACTAACAGATTGGGGAAAATTTCTGTAACCTAAATGTAGTTAAATAAATATTATAACAACTTAGAACTATTTTGTAAAAGTTCCTATTATTAAATTATTAAATTTTTTCTGTACATATCTTTCTATAAAATCAAAAAGGTCATTCAAATAATTTCTAAATATACGAAAAACTATTAAAATGTGGTGATTTTAAGAAATTTAAGATAAAGTCAACCAAATTAATTTAATAATACAGTTAGGGTGTTCAATTGCGTTGCAAACGTTGTAAAGTGTAAAAGTGTAAGGCAGTTCCAACAACAATTTCTATACAAAATAGTTTTAAAGGCCTATAGTTTTCAAAAGTATGCCTTTAAAACTATTTTGTATAGAAATTGTTGTTGGAATTGATATACACTTTTACACTTTACAAAGTTCGCAACGCAATTGAACACCCTAAGTGTTATATCTAGACATTGGCTTATATGCATAAAGGTTTTTTAAACCTTCGATTTCAAACGAACTTTGATTAAAGCTAAATTGTTCTTCAAAGTTAAAAATTATATGTAATTAATTAATTTTATCTTAGCTAAGTTCGCTTGATTTTAAATGTTAAGAATACTGTTTTTCACAAAAACCTGATGTCTAGTTATAACATTTAATTTTTGGTTTTTAAAAATGTACCTTAACTGATACTTTTCTTGAATTAAAAAATGTTTAAAATAGTTTCCTATTTTCCTGGGTTTCCTACATTTTTGAAACCACTTTATTCCTTTCCTCTTCACTTTTCCACTAATTTTTCTCAGACCGGCGGCCATCAACTTGTTTTTTAGCAATTTGCCTGATCCACAGTTTCGTCAGTGGCGACCCCATCCCCCAATCCACCTGGAAAATCTCTGCCTTGGGCCGCCCCCAAACCGTATTTTTAATTAATGTCGACCGCAATTTGTGCCTGGTCGTCCGGCGGCAGCTGCTCTGCTCAGTTACCCGCTTGTTATCGGCTTGGGTTTGTCAGGAACCCTTTGGGTCGTCACTTGGGGTTATTTAGACCTCCGAAGGGGCCAACGACCAAGTGCTAGAATGGCCAAGAACAACCAGTTTCGCACAGTTGGCAACGGAAGCCGTTTCTTCGCCTTACTCGTCGTCGTCGGCGGTCAATGAAACCAATTAACTGTACTCGCAGTGGACTCGACTTGGCCATCCGTGGAGTACTCCAGTCCCCTTTCCCTCTGGGAAACGCAACCGCAAGGGTCTGCTGCTCGTCTCCGCTGGCAGATGGAATATCAATTACCTGCTGCGGTCGCTTTTTGCCAAACAGAACCAGAAATGGAACTAAGAACCAGCTGGTTTCGCTGAGAGGCCAACTAATTGCAGTATAAGAGCTTCCTGGAGCCGCAGAAACTTGTTCCTCTTCCTCCAGAAAAAGAGAGACCACAACAAAAACAGATAAGAGTTGGTACAAATAGGCTGTGCCTTGGCAAATGCAATACATTTCGAGGAGCGATGTGGTTTCACAAAATGTACATATATTTACTTAGATGGTTAACCAAGGGTTTTAGTGTCGGCCAGCCAGGGAAACTGGACAGAAATCCAGATCCCAAGTCCCAGACAGATGATACGTCTACTTCAACTTCTTCTTGGGGCGCAGGTTGTTGGTGTGTCCGCACTTCTTCTTGCGGCAGTTGGTGGCACGAGGATGCAGACGGGCGTAGCACTTGCGGCAGATCATCTTGTCGCAGTTGTACTTCTGGGCCAGGATCCTGAGAGATGGCTCGATGATACCACCGCGCAGGCGGAGCACCAAGTGCAGGGTCGACTCCTTCTGGATGTTGTAGTCGGACAGGGTGCGTCCGTCCTCCAGCTGCTTGCCGGCGAAGATCAGACGCTGCTGATCCGGGGGGATGCCCTCCTTGTCCTGGATCTTGGCCTTGACATTCTCGATGGTGTCCGAAGGCTCCACCTCCAAGGTGATGGTCTTGCCGGTGAGGGTTTTCACAAAGATTTGCATGGTGGCGGCGTTGCTGTGGGTGAAGGGTAATTAATTTAATGAAAAACTGGAGGTCCCCAAAAACAGCGGGCGCGGATTGGAGGTTAGGTCCGACCTGCTGGCAAGTTTCCGCCAAAAGAAACCGCTCCACAGGTCGTACCAACCGAATTTCCGCATTTCCCCTGCCACAAATCCATCGCGGAACGCTGGGCGCCACACATTCCGCCACGCTTTTGTGTTATTTGCGTTATTTTCGCCATATTTTGTGGAAACTCACCAGAGGAAACGTGCAACCAAATGCTATTCACAAGAGAAAAGAGTTAGTGGCGGTACGATGGCGATAGTTCTCGATGCCAACCGATGTTTTTGTTTTATCGATATTCGCTTTAACTTTATTATTTGTTATTTTTTATTTTATAAAGTAGCTATATGTATGTGTAAGCAATATTTAATATTTACTGCCCAAATTGTAAATTTTGAGTACTAGACACAATGGTCATCTAATCGCCCATTATATGTTCCAAAGGAGCCTACCCTATTTGGCCTTCTTACATTTTTCCATTATTAGAATTTTTAGCGTACAACCTTAAAATATTTATTTAAAGTTTTTATTTATTTATTTATATTTAATTATAATAAGATGCTAGTGGAATAAAAGTGTCATCTCTACATATCGCATGGCACACATCTCTATATAAATGTGACACATCGATATAACAATATACAATAGAACGTGCGATATATCGAGAGCAATTAATTTTTAAAAGATGGAGGCAAGTAATACTTAGCGTATTCCCTTCTGACAATTCCTTGATTGTCACCTTATTTTATAAAACAAAATAAAGTAATTTGCAAAAATCTAACATTCCTTTTAACCAGTAAAAAGTCATATTCGTAACTACAAAATAAACAAGAGAGAACGCTATAGTCGGATTGGTGTCCCGACTATCTAGTACCCGTCACTCAGCTAAAGGGAGTGCGGGGGAGATGGATACATAACATATTTTTGATTGCGCATAACTTTTTAATGAATGTTCCGATATGAAAAATGTCTTCTACATTTCCATAGGTATGAATATTATTATAGGGTCGGAAACGCTTCCTTCTCCCTGTTACATACTTTTGTACAAATACAATATACCCTTTTACTCTACGAGTAACGGGTATAAAAAGTAAAAGTGAAATACTTTAATGTTGTTTATTTCGCAATTCGCTTATAGAACGTCTTCAAACAAACCACGAAATGTAAAGTTGAAAATGTTTTTTGCAATAATTAATGGCAAATGTATGATTTTAGTTCTTTTGGATATTTATACTAAAACGGTTTAATAATTTTATATTTATTTAAACAGTAAGTGTGATTTCATCAGCGATTCGATTCCGCAACAGTAATTTTGTTTTTTCAAGGAATAAACGTACTAAAGGGAGACGGGTAAAAACGCAATGAGAGATTATCATATGAACTATTTAATTATTTTTATTTGGATGATAAACTTCATAAGTTCAATGCATTATTGTAACGAAAATCATAGAACTTTGTTTACTTATTAACTCAACTTAACAACTTTTGTTCAAAATATTTTTTGTAACTTCTTATTTTTCACATGATATTAAAAACGACAGAATCAAAGAGTTCTTAACGGAAGAAGTCGCTGTTGTCACCTAGAACGCTATTGCAGTTTTAAGCGGTTGTGAGCAGGGAGTAATTTTAAGGCTTATGTAATTTTTTTGGTTTTTACATGATTGCTTTATTTACCTCAACCATCAATTTAGTAATTACTAACTTTAGGGTAAGCTTAGTCTATCCATAACAATAGTTTCTGATGTGGAATTTGGACGCTGATGCAGATGCGTCGCTGTGAGAATAGGCTATTATCCCCTGTGCGGTGTCATTCCCGATACCGATAGACCCAGAACCCACCTGATAGTCAAGAACGATAGGCCCGGCCAGACATCGATGACAGTCGCTTCGCAAGTTGTGCGGAAAAAGGAAAAAAAGGGAGAAAACGTGGAAAAACGTGGAAAAGCCCTTTAGAACGGAGCATGTCGAAAGCAGGCGAGGATCAGCCGGCAGCGGAGGGAGCGGTAAGTGAGGGGGAGCGCCCTGCGTCGCCCGTTGACCCACTAAAACCGACCTGGTTCTCATCACTTTTTTTTCACTCAGGCAATTGGCAATGGGAACGCTGAGCTGGCCCAAAATGAAGGTCAGGTGGAGAATCAGGAGGGGCAGCAGCAGCAGCCGCAGGCCAATCAGCCCAGCCGCATGGAGTCCTTCTTTGCGATGACCAAGTCCCTGATCCTGCGCGCCCTGATCATCTACTTTGTGAGCTCCTTTTTCCGCCGCCCAGCTCCCGAGGCCACGAATTCGCAAGATAAAAGTGTGGCCAATGCGGGTCCCAAGATCACCGCCTGGAATTACTTCGAGAACGGCACGGACTTTGACCTGCACGTCTGGCTGTCGGAGCACCCGGATGTGGTCAACTTCCAGCAGAAGGCGAATCTGCTCTGGCTGCAGGAGGATCTCACCTACGGCGACTGGACCTCGGGCGCGAATGGCGATGGCATCTACACCCACAGCCTGAAGCTCAAGACCAGCCAGCATTTGATGAACAACGGCAGTGTCTACCTGCATGCCTTTGTCACCCGCACGGGCATGTCGCCCGATCCCAAGTCACCCAATTACGCGACCAACGGGCACATGGGCCACCAGCAGCACCAGCTGAACAAGTTCAAGAAGCTGCGCGTCAATCGCAACTACAATCTGCTGGCCAGCGAGAAGGAGAAGCTGGAGCACGAGCTCAGGCATGCGAATCTCAAGGACACCATTGTCTCGCACTGGCATCCCAATCTCACCGTGAATCTGGTGGTGGATCAGACCAACTGGGCTCAGGGCTCCGTTCCGCCTCCCCTCGATGACTACGTGAAGTTTGTGGACGGTGGAAAGACCTATCTGCCGATTGTCTTCGTCAACGACTACTGGAATCTGCAAAGGGAGTATCAGCCTATAAATGAAACCACCCCTGAACTGGAGCTCCATTTAACCTTCCAGCCGCTTGGCATGTTCAAGTGGCAGCTGTACGCCGCCAAGCAGATGAAGAACAAGTGGGCCGGCAACATGCTGGGCGAGCTGATGGCCGCCAGCCAGCCGGAGGAGAGCGACGAGGACCAGGACTCGCTGAAGGAAACCCTGCTGGACACGAATATCTATCTGCTCGGCATCACCGTGGCCGTTTCCATACTGCACTCGGTCTTCGAATTGCTCGCCTTCAAGAACGACATTCAGTTCTGGAACAATCGCAAGTCGCTGGAGGGTCTGTCCGTGCGCTCGGTGTTCTTTGGCGTCTTCCAGTCGCTGATTATCCTGCTCTACGTGCTCGACAACGAGACCAACTTCATGATCCGCATCTCCTGCGTCGTGGGCCTCGGCATTGAGGTGTGGAAGATCCACAAGGTGGTGGATATCAACTACGACCACGATCAGAAGATTCTGGGCGTGCTGCCGAGGATCAGTTTCCAGGACAAGGGCTCCTATTCGGAGAGCTCGACCAAGGACTACGACAAGCTGGCCTTCAAGTACCTCGGCTGGGCCTGCTTCCCCCTGCTGGTGGCCTACTTCGTGTACTCTCTGATCTACAACGAGCACAAGGGCTGGTACTCCTTCGTGCTGAACATGCTGTACGGCTACCTGCTGACCTTCGGCTTCATCCTGATGACGCCGCAGCTGTTCATCAACTACAAGCTCAAGTCGGTGGCCCACATGCCGTGGCGCATGATGACCTACAAGTTCCTCAACACCTTCATCGACGACATCTTCGCGTTCGTCATCAAGATGCCCACGATGTACCGGCTGGGCTGCTTCCGCGACGACATCATCTTCTTCGTGTTCCTCTACCAGCGCTGGCAGTACCGCGTCGATCTGAAGCGCGTGAACGAGTTCGGCTTCTCCGGGGAGATGGAGCAGCAGCAGGCCACCAAGAAGTTGGAGGGCCAGGCGCCCAATGGAGCCATCGAAGCTCCTGGAGCTGCCGAAACTGCAGCGCCTGCGACCAAAAAGACAGCCGCACAAAAGAAGAAGGATTAGGCGACGAAGGAGTAGCCACATTAGATAAAAGACGCAATACCCATATACTCCAATCCCCCACTCCCTCAAAATATGTATCTAATCACTCGCTCCAGTATACATAGTCAAGTAACCCCGATAGCATCATTCTTAGGGCTAATTGTATGTACGTATGTTTGTGTTTTGTTTTCTCGTGCCCTCCGCGCTTCATTCCGCAGCGTTGGAAGATCAAATAAATTAAGTGTGAGAAGATCCAGGTGCGTGGAGCAATCTAATCTTTGGTTTGGTTAGTGGGGTGATCAGTGGGCTGACTAAAAGAGAGAGATAAGCTTGCTTATCAGGTTGGTTAAAGGGAACTGGACAGATTGTGAAGATAAAATTTGACTCATGACTAAAAGATACAAGGTTTTTTATATGTCATTTTATGTAAGAGTTTTTTTTAATAATTTAATTAATTAATTTAAGTAAAATGTCTTTCTGTTTAATTGATTTTGATTGGCTTTTCCTGTCAATTAAAAATGATTATTCAAATATATTTGAAATTGTACAACACTGTAGTTGAGCGTTTTGCAGCACTGAAGAAAACCCGCGTACAATTTTGAATTCAAAAAGCAGTCGTTAAGCAAAAACTAAAGTAACCCTTTATTTTCGGTAAAATGAAAACTGAAAGAGGATTTTATAGATACGATTGGAAATTCAAATTACCAGGATATACCGGAAGTGAAATCTAGAATATGTGAGAACATATTTTAAGGATTTTTAGGAATTTAAACAAAATAAATTCAGAGAGTATTAATCGAAAGTGAAAACTGGAAAAGGAAAGATATTATTTTAAGAGTTTTTAAAAGTGTTTTTCAAGAAGTGTCTGTAAACTTGGGTCTTTTTGGAATCACACCCCCTACCCTTTTCAGAGAATTGAAAACCGGAAGGCGATTTTTTAGACATGATAGGAAGTAAAATCTAGAGCTTGTGAGAACATTTTTCTAAGGATTTTTTGAAAGTAAAATTTTAACAAAATAAATTCAGAGACGATTACGAAAGTGAAAACTGGAGGAGGGGTTATATATTCTTTTAAGATTTTTCAAATGTGTTTTTCAGGAAGTGTCAGTAAACTTTAGACTTTTCGGAAGTGAAAACTGGCTAGAATTACACCCACTACATTGGACACTGGACTTTGGCATCGCCCACAAGTAGTCGGAAATGAAATGAAACGAAGCAGAAGTGCTGGGATCAAAAGAGGCACAATAACTGGCGGCTCAACAGCATGTTGCGTCGTAGGCTCAGCTATTTTTATTGGTTTTGCCTTTGTGGCTCTTGGTCTGCTCGCAATCGCAGCCCGAAAGGCCAAACCAAAAGCAAAGCCAGGACTTGGAGACTGGGCTTTGCGTGTTTTTGTAATATTTCTCAAAAGATAAGAATGCGACCGGACCGGGCTTCTACTGAAGCCTCTCTGTTGCCGAGGCACTTGGGCTGGCATTTAGGCAGCGACCACGACCAAGACGACATTCATAAAGAAATAAAATCGGACAAAACTCTTGTTATGCTCTTTTTACTGCACTAACTGACAGTTTTACGAGGCAGCCAGCAAGTCGCGGGACTCTGTTGAGGTTGCTCTGCGGATTCTGGTTCTGTTTGCTGGGTTCCGTTCCCAACTCGCAATATTGCAGCAGTGCACTTCCATGTGGTCTAGGTCTATGCTGAGGCACCCGACCCTATTTCTATTCCGAATTCCCCATAGAAACCCCTGAATATTCACACAGATTACGATCGATGGGGAATCGGCGGGTTCACTTAGATTTTTGAGTGCTCGCTAGGGTTTGTCAGGAATTCCTGGAATTTCACCAGTCCCAGATTCGAATTTCCAGCCTAATAAGAATAAAGATGGCTAGCGGCATCCGACAGGCAGCCTCCAAACACAATCGTCTGCAGGCCAGATTTCAGAGCCCAGACTGAAAATCATTCTCGGTTCAGGCCTTCCTTTCTACAGTGAGAAAAATCAGAAAACAATCATTTAATAAATATTTTAGAAGAGTAATCAACCAAAGGAGATCAAAGCTATATCCAATTTAAAGAAGATATTTGAAGGATTTGAGTATTGTCTTACTATCGTTTTATAATGGAAGTTACGAATTATTTAATAAATTTTAAAACCAGTGACAGAAAAACTAGTAGTTTCAAGAAAAAAAGATATTTTTGGAAGTTCGAAATCACTCATAATTGCATCCAAAAGTATGCTGTAATATTTTAAAAAGATAAAGGAAAGATTGTACCATTAGCATACTTTTAGACACCTTTTGAAAATGGTTTTAAAATTTTTATGATCATAATGTTCAAATAATTATAAATACTTTTTAACATTATTAAATACATTAAATACATGCACCCAAAAAAAAATGATCATAGAAAGTAAACTATTTCTACATTAAAAGTAAACTATTGAGTGTCAAAAATTTCTCGATACTCTGAGTATTAAACTAATGGACTTCGAAAGTATAAAAATGAAACTTTCGAAGTTGTCAAGTTTAAACTAACGAGTATACAGTTTATACTCACTCAGTGTACTGAAATTCAGGCTGCTAGTTTATTTTGTATACTATTTAGTATAATGCCAGTATAAATATTATACCCCCCGTATTAAAGAGACAAAATTTAAAAAATGTTGTTTTGTACTTTTCATCTATTATAAAACATATTTTTTACATTTTTATAAATTACTGAAGGTAATTTTTAATTTAACAAATAATATAAATACAATACATGTACAAAATATGTACGTATGTATGCATATTTGGGCAAATGCCGTTTTACCGCTTATGTCGCTGATCATCTCCAGAGTGAACGCCGTCCAGATGAATAACAAATCTTGGTCGAGGACGCTGATATTGAAGTTAACATTGCGCTGGCCGCGGTCAGAAAAAATGCAAGCCAATTGCAAGATCCTTAGTTTCCCGGCATCTGGAGCGCAACTCAAGGTGGTGTCCGTAAAAAGAAAAGAATTTACTCATTAGTTATGCACTAAGACACAATTTAAATGTACTTACATTTCAAATAAGCCCAAAATAAGCAAATATTAAAATTTTCACAAGTAATTTTCACAAACAAACCTTAAACAGACCGCAGCGTCGTTTACAAAATACACTAATGTAATACCCTTAAAATACTAACGCGTCCGAATAGCATTAAAAAGCGGTAACACTTTTTCTGTTCGAAATGTCCAGGTTCCAAACCAGAGCATCCTGGCTTCACACCAGGAACGAAAACCGAAAACTTCGGTATAGAAATTAAACTCAGGACATAAACTTAACACTATTTAGTCTTAACTTAACACTATTGAGTCTGCTCCTTACATTATTTAGTTTTAAATTAATACTGACAGTTTGATACTAGCTGTAGTATACTTTTAATACAACGCGTATTAACTGTAAACTTTCGGATTTTTTTTTGGGTGTGGGAACTAGTTAGTTGTTAAAAATAGAAGTTAGTGCTAATAGCTAGTCTTATTTAAGACACGACACCTTGCAATTAATTAACTAAAGTAAGATTTACTTTCACCCTCCTATTTCCCTCAGTGTACTGGTTTAGGGCACGCATGAAGCTGGGAGATCGAAGCGGCGATGGCGACTGAGAGCTAGGTTCACATTCACACCAGCAACATCGCCACCATCGCCAGAAACAGAAAACAAAAAACAACAAAATCAGCGAAGGGAAGTAAAACGCAGGTCCCAAACACAAAATACAAAACACCAAACACCGAAATTCCAGAAAGCCAAAAAAAATGAGGCACCACCACCAGCAGCAACAAGAACAACAGCAACAACAACAACGGCAAAGTAAACGACAACTAACCATAAGAAAAATGACCAGCGATAATTTTAATTTGAAACCAGTTTCTATGCTAAACAAAATTCTACGGCCAAGAAAAGACGGCGCGATCCAGGGAAGAAACCAAATAAAAGAGTTCCCGAGAGAGGGACTCGAAACTCTCTCAAAGATCCGTGGAGCGTTCGGATCCGAAGAGAGCTGCGAAAGAATTTCTTATTCCGAACCTGCGATGATATGGGAGTGATCTGGGGATGGGGTGGGGAGTACTCTACTCCTGCTCCTGATCCCTGGATTCTAGTGGGACCGAGTGAGCACGACTGAGCACAATAACGAAAACAACTAAAGCACAGAGAGGAATGGGTTGTTGGTTTAGGATAGATATAGGGTTAAATTCTAGGATTTTTTTCTGGGTAATTTTACTTAAGAGTTTGTTTGCTTATGAGGTGAATGGTTAATTTGGGACAGAAAATTGGACCAGAAAATTTGGAACTGAAAATTAATTAATTTAAGAGTTCTAACAAAAGACGTTCTTAAAATCAAGGCAAAAGTACTCTCGATTTTGTTTGTCTTGAAATTAGAAATCGAAGTACTCTTTTTATTAACGGTTAACTCTTAGATCCTGCAACTTGGTTTATTGATAAGCAAGGAGATCAATATTTTTTAATGGATCTTTAATGTATTATTTCGTTCTTTCGATTTATGATTTATAATATACCATTAAATTTACCCACTAGTAGTACATTAATTTAGATCTACTAATATTTCAAAGATCCCAATACGATCTTCCAGTGCAGCAGAGTCCACCGAAGTACCCCTTAGTAATTTTTATTGTTGCTGTGTATGGGTCGCCGGTGGCTATTGAATCTCGTTGGACTGGACTGGACCCAAGATACTCTGAGAGCACGGTTGTTCCGAACAAGAAAATGAAAAACGAAACTGCAACAAGTGAAAAATGTGTTGCAGATACAACAGGTAGAGAGAGAGCCTCTGCGATTCTCCAGAGAAACATGCTCCTCGGGTGGGTCTCTCGTCTCTCTCTGCCTTTTTAGTGGGTCAAAAACCCGTCTGACGGCTTTTCCACAGTCTTCGTCTTGGGCTCTCATTCGAATCTCGGCTGGATGCCAGGTTAAAGCCACTCAGTTCCGTTGAGACCACTGAGCGAGTGGTTTGGACCGATATCTTCAGCTTCGAAGACGGATTAAAAGGCGCGCGTGCGCGAAGCGGTTGACAAAAAAGTGAAGGTGCGACCGTAAATCTCTGGATTAAACATAATACCCCCTTGCTATATATTGTCCCCGAAATATATGCTATAATATATATCGAAAAATATATAATCCAAAGTTCCGATCAGCAGCTGGCCCCCAAGCTTACCCCTTTGGGTTCATCTGTCTGTGTGTGTGTGTGTGTCGCCGTTGCAAATTTTTATAAGTGAAAAATTCCAACAACGTTGCTGCTGCAGCTACAAGCCATATATACAAGAGCGAAAAATGAGGCAAAACACGTTTTGCTGAAGGAAAAAAATACGAAAAAAATAAATATGCTGCGTACGTGTGTGTAAGTGCAACTGTGTGTGTGTGCCGCAGTATTCGAGTGTGTGTGTGTGAGTCCACCAACACCAAAATGCATGTAAAAATGTGAAGAAAAATGGTAGGTACTCATAAACATTCATGCAGGATAGATATTTGCGGGCTGCCAATTGGGAACCTTTTTTCTTGCTTTCCATATATCATCTTGTTTTCCAATCCGCGGATAGGAGATCTTTTTTTAGCCAATCTTAGCCAGGGAATTTGCATAAAATCAATAAGCCAGCGCAAATCACTTTTTCTACCTACCCACGCGTCTCTCAAGAAAGGCAGTTTTCAGTTTTCAGCTAATGCATTCATAACCACTTAGAAATGGGAGTCTGGTATGCAAAAATCATAGTTAGAAGTATATATCCCATTGTCTGCTTTTTACATCGGATTTATTTGACTTTTGGATGATATAGACTCTATTTATTTATCGAACAGAGCTGAATATGCTTAAAATTTTTTATCAATATTTGATATTTTCTATAGTTAGAGAGAACAAATAAGAAAATATTATTAAAACTACATTTTCTTTAATAAAGATTTAAAAAAAGTTTATGTTTTTTTATATTTTCAGTATTCAAATGAAAATTAAATTTAATACAAATTCCGGACATTAAAAAATATACATTTATTCGTATTTGTACTTTTTTGTTTTAAACCGAGATTGTGGTTTAACCAAAAATATTTATAGACCACTCTTTTCGAAATATTTGTAGTGAACACAAAGACACTAAGGCCCCACACACCACGCCGCGTAAAAAGCATATAAGATTAATTGTGGAATTATTATAAGCCAACGGTAACGTAGGCAGTTGTGGCTGAAAAGGTTGGCCCCTCAACTTGATGTCGATGTTGTTTTTGGACTCGGATTCGGATTCGGATTCGGATTCGAGATCTCGGGTTGAGTTGAGCATGAAACGCCTCGCTGCCACGTAATGGCTGAAAATTGTCGTTTTTTTCTTGTCGGTTTGTTTTGTTATTGTCAGAAATATCGACGAACGGGAGAAAGAAAAAGAAAATATTCCTGGACAGCGGTGGGCTCTCTTTCACCGACCTTATAGCTGGTATCTCGGGAGCTCGAGAGCGAATTGTAAAAGAATATGGAAATATGGAAAAACACGTTTGCAGCGATGCAGATCGGCTGCAGTGAGATGTAAAGTGAAAAGCTCAAATAAAATAAAAATTCATAATAATAAGGAAAGGAATCGGAATCGGGAGAGGCATCATCACGAAATTTCTGGTTTCTGTTCTGTTTTTTTTTGTGGTTCTAGCCATGATATTTTGCTCCCTTTGTTGTTTCGGTTTTATGCTAGAATTTGAATTTGCATTGCAAATCGACTTAGGGTCATGCACACCGCTTTATATGTGGTATTTTATGAGCTCTCAAAAATAGCCCGCACATCGATATTAATGGCGTGGAAACCAGATATGCCATAAGAGCCAATGGTGCGTATGGGAAAGTGTAAAGGAGACGGATAAGGCAATATGCATACACACAAAAAAATTTGCTTGGTAAATTTGACCAACAAAGATAGTTACGTAACTATTAAAATAGTTACGTGTATTTTGTTTTTGCTTTGGGTTTGTGTCTTTGCTAATTGTGTGTATTTTGTTGTTGTGAAATGACTATTTACTTAGTAGAATTGACAATTTTGCTGGTTGGGGCCTGTTTGACAATTATTACAGTTGATTTTACTAAGTTTTTTTTTTGTGTGTACATCAATCAAACAAATGGGCTTTGCTTTTCTTTCCTTTCTTCGAGACAATATTTAAATTTTTTTCTTTTGCCATTCGTGAACTGTGAATAGTGAACTCCAAATGAGCTTCGAAGCTTTCTGAGGCGGACAGCACATGCATCACCAATGAAAGTAATATATTCGAGCGGAGGAAAATGCTGTTTCCGCTTATGGGAAAACCAAAAATTTCCCATAAATTCATATTCCCAATAAAACGTGATAAAAGTTGGGATAGCAAAGCGGTTTGATGAAACTGTTTGCATTTTGTTTCTAGATAAATGACAAAATGATTTATTATTTATTTTTGTATTTAAAAAAAAAGAGAAGTTAAAGCTTATATAATTTGTACCAATTTCAACCTTTTGACGTTCCTTTGCATTATTAAAATATTAAAATTTTGACACTCCCATTAGCTATTGAAATTCTTAGAAATTTTTGGAGCGAGGATTACTAATGCAATCGGTATTCGATAGAAACAGAGAACCGAAAATCCCGGAGACGGACACAGACCTTCCTATGGTTATATGGAGATACAGATATGTATTGGCCAGCAATAAAGAAGACAAAACACCAAGACATAAAAAATATCTTTTGATAGAGACCAAAAACGAAATGAGAAGATCGCCAAGGAACAGCAGCGGGGTACAAAAACAACACCGACAGCTAACAATACCATTAGAGCAGGTAGATTTTTAAGATTAATGAACGGGTTCGGCTACAAAAGCTTCGGGACAACAAAAAAACAAAAAAAACGATGAAATTTACGACGCATTTTTAGCTATGTATGCGAGGAGACAGAAGAGATCCGATCCGATCCGATTCGATACGATTCGTTTCGAACCCCAGTCCAAATTCTGACAGATTCTGCGGGTCCACGGCCATGTGTTTTCGTCTAGTTAGTCCATCTAGTGGTCTTTATAACGAAATGAGGGGTATTTTAGCTTTCATTTAATCTGTTTAATAATGCAAAATCCTTAAAGCACTTACTAATTTAAAATGAATATACCAACTGGTACTGCTTATAAGTCTTTTTTATATTCTTGGTATTTGTCAAGTTCGTTTCCTCAGTCTTTTGATTTCACCCAAGTTTGTTTCCTTAGTTATCTGTTTTTTCTTAAAAACTTTTTATATTTTCTTACTAAAAATATTATAACAAATATATGATTATGTAAATTAAACCTTTTTTGACTTTCGTAATATAACAATTTTAAATGTTAAAATTATTATTATTACATTTTCACTAGCAATTTAATTTTGAAGGATCAAAAACTCACTAAAGTAATTAGATTACCAACTGATATCAACTACATTAGTTTGCATTTAAATACTAATCTTTAGTACAAAACACAGGGTATTTTGCAGTCTATTACTAAGTATTATGTTTCGGATGCTGTGGCGTTTACTGTGTTCGAGTGCTAATACGAATACGAATCAGTTAGCTGGTTTCAGAGCGTTACTACTACTTTGTTTAAAAGGGGCGGAGGTGGAGGGGCTCGACGTCTTTGTATTGATATTCTTAGAGTCTCGGGTTAACAAGAGATTGCCCACAAAGCATTAATTTGGTCCAAAGCTGACACGCATGCTATTAATGGAAATTTTCCCTTCTTTCGGTCGTTGTCTCCATCGGCGTCTCTCAGTATGTGTTTCGGAATTTCGTTTGATTAATAGACGCCGCCTAAATCTTGATTAGATTTTCCTAAAAGCCTAGGACCAGCAGCCGCAGTTGGAGACTGCGTCTCTCTGGATTTCAATCAATTTGACGCTGGACCGCAGCTTCTTTCGTTTCCACTCGCCCGTATTTCTTGGACTGAAATAAAAAGGCGTAGGTTGAGAGGGATTTATTTCGAGACTTTATGGTATTTAGGAATTACTTGGTTTAATTTGAAAAGCTAGAAATGCGGACTCAAGATTTTTCTCTTCAAGTTCGTTTCCTCAGTCATTTGTTTTCCACCCAAGTTTTTTACTGTCTTGAAATCAGTTTTTAGATATTTTAAAAAATTGTAAATATATACAAAATAAAATTTCCTTGTTTAAAAATATTATGGATAAATTCTATAATAAATAAATGATTTTTTTTGGCTATCCCAAATAAATGCACCCTTAGTTTTAGTCGTTTTTACGCTTTAGCGCCTCTTATCTCACCGAATTGAGCTTAACTAATTTTACGCTCGACGGAGTATGAAACAGTTGATATGCTTGGTGAGCATAAAAGCAGAAAGCAGTTGGTTAATTGAAAGCATTACTTTAACAAGTGGCCAAAGCACGTCAATACCTAATTAGCACTTACCATAAATACGGCTTGAAATTAAATATATTCCTCTCTTCTTTTCCAGGCGACAGATGACAAATCAAAGAACCCATCAAAATCGAATGATGCAAAATGACGAGTTCAACGAAAAGTGCAACAAATGAAAGAAGAAGTGCAAAATAAATTTAGAACAAACATTAGAATCGAAAGCCTCCAGATGAAGAGGCTGTTCCTTGTTTTCCTGCTCCTTGCGGGCAGCAGGGAATCCTTGTGCCAAAATCCCGGGGAGACCAAACTGGAGCTACTGGCACCGCGTGGCCGGAGTTACGCCACCACCTACGAACAATATGCAGCATTTCCGCGCAGGAGGAGCTCCCAATCCTCGCCAGCGGCGGGTGAGATGCAATCGCGTGCGGTGGACACCAGCGCCGATTTCGAGGTGCTCGAGGGTCAGCCGCGCGGCACTTCGGTCGGTTTCATACCCACCAAGCCAAAGTTCTCCTATCGGTTCAATGAACCGCCCAGGGAATTCACCTTGGACCCTGTGACGGGTGAGGTGAAGACCAATGTGGTGCTCGATCGGGAGGGCATGAGGGATCACTACGATTTGGTGGTGCTCTCCTCGCAACCCACTTATCCCATTGAGGTTAGGATTAAGGTCTTGGATGTTAATGACAATTCGCCAGAGTTTCCCGAACCCAGCATTGCGATATCCTTCTCGGAAAGTGCCACTTCTGGTACTCGATTGCTCCTCGATGCCGCCACGGATGCGGATTTCGGCGAGAACGGAGTGACGGATCAGTACGAGATTGTCGCCGGCAATGTGGACAACAAATTCCGGCTGGCCACCACTGCGAATCCCAGTGGCGAAACCTCTTACTTGCATCTGGAGACGACTGGTAATCTGGATAGGGAGTCACGTGGAAGCTATCAACTGAATATCTCGGCCAGGGATGGAGGATCCCCACCGCGTTTCGGCTTTCTCCAAGTGAACGTTACCATTCTCGATGTGAACGACAATCCACCGATCTTCGATCATAGCGATTATAATGTTTCGCTCAACGAAACCGCTCTTCCGGGGACGCCAGTTGTAACGGTTATGGCTTCGGACAACGATTTGGGTGACAACAGCAAGATCACCTATTATCTGGCCGAAACGGAGCACCAGTTCACGGTGAATCCGGAAACGGGAGTCATTTCCACCACGGAGCGGGTGAACTGCCCCCAGCAAACGAGTGTCAGAGGATCGAATCAAAAGAGCTGCGTCTTCACGGTGTTCGCCAGGGATCACGGATCTCCCAGGCAGGATGGACGCACCTATGTGACGGTCAACCTGCTGGACACCAACGATCACGACCCCATGATCAGTTTTCGATTCTTCCCGGATGGCGGGAAGGTGGCTACGGTGGATGAGAATGCTGTAAATGGCACTGTAGTAGCAGCCGTGGCTGTTAAGGATTCCGATTCAGGTCTAAATGGCCGGACATCGGTGCGAATTGTTTCTGGGAATGAACTGGGTCACTTTCGTCTCGAGGAAGCCGCTGACCTCCACATCGTAAGGGTAAATGGAGTCCTGGATCGCGAGGAGATTGGCAAGTACAACCTGACGGTGGTGGCCATGGATCAGGGAACCCCGGCGAGATCCACAACAGCTCACCTAATCATCGATGTGAATGATGTGAATGATCATGAACCGGTGTTTGAGAAATCAGAATACTCTGCGGTGCTAAGTGAACTGGCACCCACGGGTAGCTTTGTGGCGTCTATAACAGCAACGGATGAGGATACTGGAGTGAATGCCCAGGTGCACTACGATATATTATCGGGCAATGAGCTCAAGTGGTTCACGATGGATCCCCTAACAGGGTTGATTGTGACATCGGGACCTCTGGACAGGGAAATTCGGGACACCATAGAACTGAGTATCTCGGCCAGGGACGGTGGACCCAATCCCAAGTTCGCCTACACCCAACTGAAGGTTACCATTCTGGACGAGAACGATGAGGCTCCGCAGTTTAGTCAGCGAGTTCAGAACGTTACACTCAGCGAAGATGCGCCAACGCAAACGATTGTGGCTCTGATGACGGCCACCGATCATGATCAGGGCACCAACGGTTCGGTGACCTTTTCTTTGGCGCCCAACGTGGGGCGCTTGTACCCGCGACAGTTTGCCCTCGATGCGTTGACGGGCCAATTAACGATGCGCCAGCCGCTGGATCGTGAGAAAATGTCGCTCTACGAGATTCAGGTGATTGCCCGCGATCAGGGAGCACCCACTCCGCAATCGGCGACGGCCACCGTTTTCCTGAATGTGGCCGATGTTAATGATAACGATCCTCGCTTTTATCCCAGCCACTATATCTACACGCTCACCGATGAGGATCTCAAAGTCAGCAGGGAGGGTAAACCGAAGACCCTGCTCCAAGTCACGGCCTCGGATAAAGACGATGGCGATAATGCCTTAATTGAGTACCGACTGGAGGCAGGTGGCGGCGAGTCAGGTCTTTTCCAGCTGGACGCCCGTTCGGGAGTTATCAGCCTGTCGGGAACTAATGCTGCTACTCCCCTACAATCCCACTACAAACTTCAGATTTCGGCACGTGATGCTGGGCAGAGGAGAAGCCAACGAGATGCCATTGTGGAAATTGTGCTCAAGTCCAAGGCAGAGATGCTCGAATGCGCTCAACCTGGTTATGAATTCCAGATGATCGAGGATCACGAGCAGCGCAAGAACAGTCCAGCGAATCGCGAGGTGGGCATCGTGCAGGTAAAGTCCACGAATGCCAATATCGAGTATGATATCATCCAAGGTGATGGGGAACAGAATTTTCAAATTGATCCCAGGAGTGGTCGCATCACCACATCGCGATCTCTGGATCGCGAGGAAAAGGCTCACTATCGCCTGACCATCTTGGCCAGCTCCATCTCCAGTTCCAGTCCCTCCTCCCTCATTTCCTATGGTCAGTGCAGTGTGAGCATAGCCATTATGGATCTGAATGATAATGCACCCGTTTTCGCCTTGGATCGCGATACAGAGCCTACGATTTGGCTGCCCGAGAATGCAGCCGTGGGTCAGGAGATCTACTTATCCAGGGTTAGAGATCGAGATGCAGGTGTTAATAGCAGGATCAGCTATAGCCTTACACACAATCCCGAACAGCAGTTTCGTATTGGACCAGTCACGGGTGTACTCTATCTTCAGAGACCCTTAAGAGCGGAACCGGGTTCCCATATCAATGTGGAACTAATGGCCACCGACGCGGGTAGTCCACCACTCTCCAGTAAGTTGAGTCTATCGGTTTACATAGGCGATGTCAATGATCACACGCCCGTTTTCGATCACACCTCCTATGAGACTTCCCTGCCGGAAACCACAAAGGTTAATACCCGATTCTTTGCTCTGGCTGCCACGGATATTGATTTGGGTGATAATGGTAGGATATCCTATGAGATCATTGAGGGTAATACCGAACGCATGTTTGGCGTCTTTCCCGATGGCTTTCTTTTTGTGAGAGCTCCACTGGACAGAGAGGAACGGGATTACTATGCCTTGACCGTTTCTTGCCGGGATTCGGGTCAACCGTCCAGATCTTCGGTGGTTCCTGTGGTTATCCATGTGATTGATGAGAACGACAATGCACCTCAGTTTACCAATAGCACTTTTACGTTTAGCATTCCGGAGAATGCACCCGCGGATACATTTGTGGGTAAACTCACTGCCATAGATCGTGATATTGGAAGGAATGCGGAGCTCAGTTTTACGCTCTCCAGTCAAACTACGGACTTTACGATAGATACTAGGAATGGTTTCATCAAGACTTTGCGACCCTTCGATCGCGAGGCTCTGGTGAAGGTCAGTCGGAATACAGAGGAGGAGGGTAACCTCAGGGGTTCCTCCTTCACCGGAAACTATATGCTGCTGGAGGCTACGGTATCGGATAATGGCATTCCCCGCCTGCAGGACAAGGTCAAGGTTAAGGTAATCGTAACGGATGTCAATGACAATGCCCCCGAGTTCCTGAGAGCTCCTTACCACGTGACCATTTCGGAGGGTTCCGCCGAGGGAACGCACATAACCCATGTGTTTACCCAAGATGCGGACGAGGGTCTGAACGGGGATGTCTACTACTCTTTGGCCCAGGGAAACGAAGCTGGTCAGTTTTCGCTAGACAGCGCCACTGGTCAGCTTTCCCTAGCACGAAGATTGGATCGGGAGACCCAGGAAGTGCATCATCTGATTGTCGTGGCCCAGGATGCTGCTCTCAAGCATCCACTGAGCTCCAATGCCAGCATTACCATAGTAGTTCTCGATGAGAACGACAATGCTCCGGAGTTCACGCAGTCGAGTAGTGAGGTCTCTGTTCTGGAAACAAGTCCAACGGGCACGGAATTGATGCGGTTCAGGGCCAGTGATGCGGATCAGGGAGTAAACAGTCAGGTGGTCTTTAGTATTTCGGCGGGCAATCGACGGGACACCTTCCACATCGACAGCATTACGGGTAGTCTGTATCTTCACAAGCCCTTGGATTATGAGGATATAACAAGTTATACCCTGAACATCACCGCCTCTGATTGTGGAACTCCCTCACTGTCCACCACTGTGTTGTACAATGTACTGGTCGTAGATGACAATGACAATCCACCGATCTTTCCCAGCACCGCTATTGTTCGACAGATCAAGGAGGGAATTCCCCTAAAGACACCGATAGTCACTGTAACCGCTGATGATCCGGATTCGGGCCTGAATGGCAAGGTGAGCTATGCGATTAGCAAGCAGGAACCTCAACTTCCGCAGGGCAGACACTTTGGCATCAACACGGAGACAGGTGTGATTCACACTCTGAGGGAGATAGATCGCGAGTCCATCGATACCTTCCGGTTGACAGTGGTGGCTACGGATCGGGCTCAACCCTCGGACAGGCAGCTCTCCACGGAGAAGCTGGTCACCGTGATTGTGGAGGACATCAATGACAATGCTCCCATTTTCGTGTCCATGAATGCTGCTATTTTGCCGAGCAAAACGCCCACAACGGTGATGCAGGTTCATGCCAAGGATGCGGACTCGTCGAGCAATGGACTGGTCACCTACGAGATAGTCAGTGGTCCGCAGGAGCTCTTCCGCCTTCAGAGGAACACGGGTGTGATCACCTTTACCCCGGGAGCTCAGTTCAAGCAGGAGGTTCGCTACCAGTTGACCCTCAAGGCCACCGATGAAGCGGTTCAAAGCGAGCGTCGCAGCAGTGAGGTCTACATCACCATAATAACCCCGGGTTCTGGTGAATCATCCGTTCCTCAGTTTGAGCAAAGGGATATGCTCTCCGGTTCGGTTTATGAAAACGAGCCCATTGGAACTAGTATCCTTACGGTGGCCGCTCATCTGTCGGGCGCCGAAATCGAGTACTTTGTGACCAATGTGACGTCAGGTGGAGGATCGCATGGGCAGGTGGATCGCCTCTTCGACATCGACGCCAAGCTGGGAATCCTCTCGACAGCCGCCGAACTGGACCGAGAGGCGGGACCCGAGGAGTACGAGGTTGAGGTCTACGCCATCGCTTTAGGAGGACAGCCACGCACTTCGAGAACAAAGGTGAGTTGGTCAACAGAATGAAAATATATATGTTGGATAGGTCTATCACCTCTTCAATAGTTTCAGGTTCTTTAGGAGTATGTTGGGTACTATATTTTCATCTCTCGAAGGTATACGTTTTGACTTAAATAATCAAGTCATTCAATCAAAGCTTTTAATGAAATATTTTTCTTTTATTCTTATTTTTTTTTATATTTTAAAATTGGAAAATTGGTGTGTGATTTGTATCAAAGATTTTTAACTTTAAGATTTTTAAATTAAATAATCAAGTCATTCAATCAATGCTTTTAATGCCTTTTTTTTTTTTTTTTTAATATTTTAAAATCTGTAATTTGGTGTGTTATTACTATGATTTGTAGCAAAGATTTTTAAACTTAAAGATTTTTGAATTAAATAATCAAGTCATTCAATCAATGCTTTTAATGAATTTGTTTTTTTTTTTTTTTAATATTTTAAAATTGGAAATTTGGTGTATTATTACTTTGATTTGTAGGAAATTTTTACCTTAAAGAAAGCTGCATGCAAATGATACCATGCATCATGCACATTTTGATCGCAATGTTCGGAATCCGCGTGTGGTTTTATCAGATTCCGATTACTTACACCGAGGGGCCTTCGAACTTACTTAAGGACCGACCTTTCTTTTACTTTGTAGCCGAGGCTAAAGGGAATATGGTTGCTTTTCCTTCGATGTTTGTTGTTTTTGCCATGTCGGCCATTTCTGGGGCAGTTTCAAGGGCTTATCAGTGCAAGTCGAGACCGCACTAATGCGCTTTTAATGTCTTGTGCTGATATGAAATGTTGATTACACGGCCAGCACTCCAGAGGTCCAGAGCTTCAGGTCCCTGGACCCTCAGTCATCCTTTTCTGCACATGCACATGCGGTTATGCCTTCAGACTCGGACTCAGACTCAGCCTCAGATTCAGATGCAAATTAACAGGCCAACGAAGATCCACGGCTATCTGCTGAATGAATTTGATAGGGACAGGGCTTGCGGGGGGATCGCTCTCAACCAGACGGACCTGTGTATCGAGAAAATATTTTACATCCCAACGCTGCATAAATGGGCCGCAGGGATAGAATTATAATAAGTTGCTTCATTGGCAGATGCCTTTAATTATGCCCAGTACCCTACTCACCCGAGTACCCGAGTCGAGGTCCCCCGATGGCCCAGGACCCGCCCCTCTTCGTTCGGAGGGTATTTCGCAGACCTCTGCAGAGCTCTTTATACTGGTTTCGAAGCGAAAAAAAAGGCCAGGAGAGAGAACAAAGGCAAAAAGAACCGGGCTCTGAAGCACTAAGAAAAATTGAGATCAATTCAAGTTCAACTCGATCTTGCAAAATCTGTATCTTTTACTAAATCTTTTAAAAATTAAAGGATAAGAAGCTGTATTAGAAAATCTCTTCTACTAACTTGTATGGTTTTCTTCACTTGTACCAATTTTTCATATTAACCTACAAAATAGTATACATAATTCGTAAAAAATTAGAAGATTTGTTTCCCATTTTCTTGTGTACACAGAAAAAAAATGTCAAATGATCAGATTGATATGTGCAGGTAAAATTGATATTTTTTGAAGTTATTCATATCATTTTGATATGAACAAAGATTATGTTTATCTTATCTTAAACTATTAGTTCAAAAAATACTTAATTCGATATTTGAAAAGAGTATTTTTATAACTTTTATGAAATGATAAAATATCATATTGACATGTTTGAACCTTAAATTTTACATTAATCATATCGGCTTTTTGTTGCTATGCAATAAGGTAGATCCTATTTTATATAGATTTTTTTCCTGTGTAGTCTCTTTTCGATTCTCCACTCTTCGGTCTTCTCTTTGGGGCCAGATTCTTCTCCTTTTACAGACAGCCATCGAGTTCTCGTGGCTTTTTCTGCCTTTTCTTGCCGATCCGCGTGTTCATGGCCAACACGTCGTATGCGTAGGTATGCCAACAATGCACGCATGCAAATGTGTGTAGTTCCAGTTCCAGTTTCGTGCTGAGAAGCTGGACAAAAAAAAAAAGGGGAAAAAACACAGCCTTGGGTTAGTACAAGCAACTATGGTTTAGTGGATGTTTCGATCGCTGGTCCTCGCGTGTGAAGAGCGTTTCAATCAATTCATTGTTGCATTGATTTAAAACGATTGTCATGTTTTTACATTTTTTGTCTGGCGTTAATTTTAAATATTTGCGGGGACTGAAAAAAAAATCAAAGCTTCATCCGGTCGAGATTTAATTTTGGACATTCAGCATTAGTTGCATTAGTTGATTAGTATTAGTCATCATGATCTTGGAATCCAATTAAGCTGCGCTTTCTAGTCTTCTCGGTTCTCGGCCTGCTTTCGCAAATAATCGCAATTAAAAGTCAGCAAACAAGCGAGTGAATGTCATTTGGCTTTCCATCAAAATGTCCCCCAGATCCGATTGCAGGTTTCGGAATTTCACGCGAATTTATGGCCCTCTCGAGGCTAGAGTTCTGTGTTCTCCTGAGTTTTAATTTTTTCTTTTTTTCTGGCCATTAAGCGGATTGACAAATGGTTACATTTTCTGCAGCTGCACCCGCTTTCCACTGCCTCAAATTAGTTCAATTAGCCGCACACATTTCACCCAGCCCGCGGGCATCCAAATGGTGTTTTGTGCTCACCAAAAGACTGCCCACTAATGCAATGCCAACCTTCGGATCTTGGTATCCCTGTTCCTGTGCCGTCTGATGTTACAAATTTGCATAAATTTTATTACAAATGCGGTATTTACTCGCCCAGCACCGACTTAACACCATTATCCCAGCACACGAGGCTATATTTTACGAGTCTGGTTGCGAGTCTCCAGTATTTATGGCCCTCTTGGATGTGTGCGACTTGGCCAGGACTTACGAGGTGGCTTAGAAGGCTTTTAAGCGGCTTGATTAGACGATCGATTCCCAGGTCTTTTTCTCTAAATGTTATGACTTTAGAAAGGCATACCTTACATTTGCAAAAGTCTTGTAAATTAATTAAAACTAGTGCAGAATACACATTAAATTGAAACGAAAAGCCGGTTTTGCTTGGCCTAAACTATAATTCCCTCGGTCATAAACAAGAAAGTTCAAGCCCATATACCACACACACCATATACCATATACCATATACCATTGCCCATTTAGCCAGATCCGAGTTGTAAGCGGGTCATTTTCGGGCCAGGTTAAGAGAGATGAAGAATGCGATTGACATTGCGACAGAAGTTCGGCGGGTACATAGAATATTCTGGGCATTTAGTGCCAAATATGGAACTAGTTTCCGCTCGATGCCATATCGCAGATGCTAGCTCGTATGCGAGTATATATACCTACCTACCTCCTTCTCTTTTTCCTCCGCCAAGTGGGTCAGTGTTATTGACGCAACGAATACGCTTTTGTATTTCGTATATACTCGTATTCCCCTGCAGGTCAGAGTAACAGTTCTGGACAAGAACGACAGTCCCCCGCAGTTCTTGGACACCCCGTTCGTCTACAATGTCAGCGAGGATCTGGAGATTGGACACACCATCTCCACGCTGCGGGCCCACGATCCCGATACTCTGGGTACGGTGACTTTCCTCCTGATGGACGGACATGATGGCAAGTTCCTGCTGGAACCCACCAGCGGAAAACTTATTCTCAAGGACACCCTTGATCGGGAGACGAAGAGCAAGTATGAGCTGAGGATTCGCGTCTCTGACGGAGTGCAGTACACGGAGGCATATGCCACCATTCAGGTAAGATTTCTATAAAAAAAAATAAATGTATAAAAATTTTTTTTTATCAATTTGAAATACATTTTTATAAATTTATGTAAATAAACTTAATTACTTTGATGTTGCTTACATTTCGACATTTTTGAATAGTAAATTATTAGATAGTTGTATAAACAAAAAAAAAAAAAATTTTTTTTACAATTTGAAGTACATTTTTATAAATTTAAGTAATCATACATAATTTTAAGTAATAATTTATTAGATAGTTGTACCATTAACTATTTTTAAAAATAATATATTTTTACAACCCATCCTTTAGGTGAGCGATACCAATGACAACCCGCCCATGTTCGAGGATGCCGTGTACTCGTTTGATATACCGGAAAATGCCCAACGCGGCTACCAAGTGGGTCAGATTGTGGCCAGAGATGCTGATCTGGGCCAGAATGCCCAGCTGTCCTACGGAGTGGTCTCAGATTGGGCCAATGACGTTTTTAGTTTGAATCCCCAAACTGGAATGCTGACCCTAACAGCTCGACTGGATTACGAAGAGGTGGGAAATTGGAACCTCTATCGGTTGAGATAAAACTCACGTCTATTTGGGTTTCAGGTTCAACACTACATCCTCATCGTCCAGGCCCAGGATAATGGCCATCCCAGTCTGTCCACCACCATTACGGTCTACTGCAATGTACTCGATTTGAACGACAATGCGCCCATTTTCGATCCCATGAGCTATTCGAGCGAGGTGTTTGAAAATGTGCCCATTGGCAAGGAGGTGGTCACTGTGTCAGCCAAGGATATAGATTCGGGTAAGTGTGGGAGAAGATTTCCTCTTTTACCACCTGGATATCCCTGATTATCACCGTTTGTTTCCAGGCAACAATGGACTCGTTGAGTACAGCATCACCGCAGGCGACGCCGATGCGGAGTTCGGAATCGACAGTAATGGCACAATCCGTACTCGTCGAAATTTGGACAGGGAACACCGATCTGCGTACACCCTTACGGTAACCGCACGAGATTGCGCCGATGAATTCGCCTCCTTTAGCGAACTGGAGGAAACGCAGCTGAAACTCAAGTACCGATCGCCTAGAAGATATCAGCAAAGCCAGCAAGACTATTTGGCCCATCAGAAACAGCAGCGACTCTCTTCGACTGTAAAGGTAAGTTTTCAGTTCTTTTGTGCTTTTAATTTAAAAATCTAAATTAAAGAAATTTAATAAGACATAGAATAGCTGGGTTTTTATCTTGTATAATAAAACCAATTATTTATTATGTCACTAGCCTTGTTTAGTTTCAGTCTGAAATGCTTATTCGCGAATCCCTAATTAACTAGAATTAACCCAAACCCGTTCTTAGTCCTTATCGGCCTGTTTGGCATCTCGAGAAACGTACATACATTTACCGTTTTATCTAGAATGCCATTGAAGCACAATTAGCCAAATACTGATCCGCACTTTCTTCTGCCAGGTGACGATACTCATCAAAGATGTCAACGACGAAGTGCCCATCTTCGTTTCCGCAAACGAGACGGCGATAATGGAGAACGTGGCCATCAACACGGTCGTTATCGCTGTCAAGGCTGTCGACAATGACGAGGGCCGCAATGGGTACATTGATTACACCATGGAGGAGGCCAAGGGTATGGAGGATATCGGTCAGTCACTGGAACCCCTGCCCTTCTCCCTCAACCCCACCGATGGTCAGTTGCGCGTGGTCGATTCCCTAGATCGCGAGTTGCGTTCCAGTTATCTACTCAACATCACGGCAACGGATCGAGGGGAGCCACCTCAGTCCACGGAGACGCAGTTGCTCATTCGGATTCTGGACGAGAACGACAATAGTCCCGTCTTTGATCCGAAGCAATATTCCGCCTCGGTGGCCGAGAATGCCAGCATTGGTGCGATGGTCCTTCAAGTATCCGCCACCGATGTGGACGAGGGAGCCAATGGTCGGATTCGCTACTCCATAGTGTTGGGCGATCAGAACCATGACTTTAGCATCAGCGAGGATACGGGTGTGGTGCGGGTGGCCAAGAACCTAAACTACGAACGTCTGGCCCGCTATTCCCTCACGGTTCGCGCTGAAGATTGCGCCCTGGAGAATCCAGCCGGCGATACGGCCGAACTGACCATCAATATCCTGGATATAAACGATAATAGACCTACGTTCCTGGACTCTCCGTATTTGGCACGCGTTATGGAAAACACTGTTCCGCCGAATGGAGGTTATGTGCTAACCGTGAATGCCTACGATGCAGATACACCTCCTCTAAACTCACAGGTTCGCTACTTCCTCAAGGAGGGCGATAGTGATCTCTTCCGGATTAATGCCTCCTCGGGCGATATAGCTCTGTTGAAACCTTTAGATCGCGAGCAACAGAACGAGTACACCCTGACTTTGGTGGCCATGGACACGGGATCGCCTCCGCTGACGGGCACGGGAATTGTGCGAGTGCAGGTCCAGGATATCAACGATAATGATCCGGTTTTCGAACTGCAATCCTATCATGCAAATGTTCGGGAGAACCTACCACCAGGCACACGTGTTCTGCTACCCAAGGCCACCGATAAAGACGAAGGTTTGAATGCCAAGTTACGCTTTAATTTACTAGGAGAGTTTATGAATAGATTCCACATCGATTCGGAAACGGGAGAGATTACCACGGCCTTATCGCTGGATCGTGAGGAGACTTCCGTTTACCACCTAACACTAATGGCCCAGGATAGTTCTGTGACTGAGCCCCGCGCTTCGTCGGTAAACCTGACCATCAGTGTATCGGATGTCAACGACAATGTTCCCAAATTTGACTCTACCACTTACAACGTGGCAGTTTCCGATAGGATTAGCACAGGGGAATTTGTTTTCGGAGCTCGAGCCCTTGACTTGGATGAGGGCAAGAATGCCCTTATTCACTACACCATTAGTGGTCGAGATCAGCAGTTCTTTGATATCAATTCGAATACAGGAGTGGTTAGCACGAAGCTAGAGCTCAAGGGTAAGAGTAAATCCCCGGCTGATTTGACCTATACCATTGTAATATCAGCCATGGACCAGGGTGAGCAACCTCTGAGTTCCAGAGCAGAGCTTACTATTATCCTCCGACCCCCGGAACTCTTTCCCAGCTTCGCCTACATGGCCAATAGTCACTTTACGATGTCGGAGGACGTGAAGCCGGGTAAGATGATAACCAAAGTGAGTGCCACATCGCCGAAAAAGGGTTTGGCGGGTAAAATACGATATGCCATTGCGGGCGGAAATCTGGGAGATTCCCTGCGTGTGGATCCCAATAGCGGGGTACTAAGTGTAGGAGAAGATGGCCTGGACTATGAGCAAACACACCTCTACGAAATTTGGTTGGAGGCAACCGATGGAGATAGCCCAAGTCTCAGAAGCGTTACCCTGATCACAGTCAACGTAACGGATGCCAATGACAATGCACCCGTTATGGAGAAGCTCATCTACAATGCCGAGGTTCTGGAGGAGGAGTCACCACCTCAGTTGATAGCCACGATCAAGGCCAGCGATCGCGACTCTGGGGAGAATGGTAGAGTAGCCTATCGCCTACAGAACGACTTTGATGGCACCTTTGAGATCATGGAATCGGGTGAGATCTACACCACCATGCGACTGGATCGTGAGGAGATCGGTGATTATGCCTTTGTCGTTGAGGCCGTTGATCAGGGCTCACCCCATTTGACGGGAACGGCCAGTGTGCTTTTGCATTTGCTGGATAAGAACGACAACCCACCGAAGTTTACACGCCTTTTCTCCCTCAATGTAACTGAGAATGCGGAGATTGGTAGCTTTGTGATCAGAGTTACCTCCTCGGATTTGGACCTAGGTGCCAATGCGAATGCATCCTACTCGTTTAGCGAAAATCCCGGCGAGAAGTTCCGCATCGAGCCGCAGAGTGGTAATATAACCGTTGCCGGTCATCTGGATCGCGAACAGCAGGATGAGTACGTCCTGAAAGTGGTGGCCTCCGATGGAGCTTGGCGTGCCGAGACTCCCATTACGATCACGATTCAGGACCAGAACGACAATGCTCCCGAGTTCGAGCACAGCTTCTATAGCTTCAGCTTCCCGGAGCTGCAGCAGTCGATTGCCTTGGTGGGCCAGATCATAGCAACGGATCGCGATAAGCAGGGTCCCAATTCGGTGATCTCCTACTCACTGCAGCAGCCGTCGCCCATGTTTAGCATTGACCCCGCAACGGGTGAGGTCTTTAGCAAAAAGGTGTGTATAGAAGAGTTCTTTCAAATATATATATTTATTTATTTATTTTTTTTTTTTTTTTATTTTTATTTATATTTTTTTTCTTACCCAACAGGCGGTTCGCTTCAAGCACTCTCAGTACGTTCGCTCCCCGGAAAACATGTACGCCTTCACCGTTCTGGCGACGGACAATGGCAAGCCACCTCTATACTCCGAGTGCCTAGTCAATATCAACATTGTCGATGCTCACAACAATCCTCCCAAGTTCGAGCAGGAGGAGTATCTAGCTCCCCTGCCAGAAGATGCGGTTCGCGGCCAGCGAATAGTTCGGGTTCATGCGAACGACAAGCATGATGTGGGCACCAACGAAATGGACTACTCCCTGGTGACCCTGAACCTGAGTTCAATCTTCACCATCGGCCGACATGACGGTTGGATCACTCTGGTCAAGCCACTTCAAGTCAAACCAAACTCGCGATACGAATTGGTTGTGAGGGCCACTGATCGCGGAGTTCCTCCGCAGTCAGATGAAACTCGTGTCATTATCGTGGTGACCGGTGAGAATCTGGACACGCCGAGGTTCTCGGTGAGCAGCTACCAGGTGATTGTGCCCGAAAACGAGCCCGTGGGTTCCACCATCCTAACAGTTGGGGCAACGGACAATGACACGGGTCCGAATGGTCTCCTCCGTTACTCCATTTCCGGCGGAAATGAGCGTCGCGACTTCAGTGTGGATGAACGCACCGGTGGTATTGTGATACAACAGCAACTAGACTACGATCTAATACAGGAATATCATCTAAACATCACGGTTCAAGATCTGGGCTACCACCCACTATCCGCCGTTGCGATGCTCACTATAATCCTGACGGATGTCAACGACAATCCACCCGTTTTCGATCAGAAGGAGTACCACGGTTATATACCCGAAAACAAACCCATTGGCACCTTTGTGTTCCAGGCTCATGCTACCGATAAGGACTCTCCTAAAAATGCCATTATACACTATGCATTCCTGCCCAGCGGAACGGACAGGCACTTCTTCGTGATGAATCACAGTAATGGAAGTATTTCATCAGCTGTTTCCTTTGATTACGAAGAGCGGAGGGTTTATACACTCCAGTTAAAAGCAAAGAATCCCGATTCGAGCATGGAAAGCTACGCTACCCTCTATGTCCATGTTCTAGGGGTAAATGAGTTTTACCCGCAGTTCCTGCAGCCTGTCTTCCACTTTGACGTATCGGAAACATCTGCGGTGGGCACTCGAGTGGGTGCTGTTCAGGCCACGGATAAAGATAGCGGTGAGGATGGTCGTGTCTACTACTTGCTAGTCGGATCCAGCAACGACAAGGGTTTCCGAATCGATACGAGAACGGGATTGATTTATGTGGCCCGGCATTTGGACCGGGAGACCCAGAACCGTGTGGTCCTCACCGTGATGGCCAAAAACTATGGCAGCATTCGGGGTAACGACACCGATGAGGCCCAGGTCATCATCTCGATTCAGGACGGAAACGATCCACCGGAGTTCATTAAACACTACTACACCTCGACCATTTCCGAGGCAGCTCCGATTGGCACCAAGGTCACAACGGTCAAGGCCATCGACAAGGACGTTCGGCCGCAAAACAATCAGTTTAGTTATTCTATTATCAACGGGAACCTCAAGCAGAACTTCAAGATCGATGTGCAGACGGGTGAGATTAGTACGGCCAGTCGTCTGGATCGCGAGGAGATTGCCACCTATAATCTCGTAATTGGAGCCATAGATACTGGACTGCCGCCGCAGACGGGAAGTGCTACGGTTCACATAGAACTGGAGGATGTGAACGACAATGGTCCTACCTTCACGTCTGAAGGTCTGAATGGCTATGTCTCGGAGAACGAACCACCTGGTACTTCGATAATGACACTAATGGCCAGTGATCCGGATCTTCCGAGAAACGGAGGTCCCTTCACTTACCAATTGGTTAGCGGAAAGCACAAGTCCTGGCTGAGTGTGGATAGGAACACGGGTCTGGTTAGGTCCACCAGCAGCTTCGATCGGGAGATCAATCCCATTCTGGAGGCAATCATCGAAGTGGAGGACAGTGGCAAGCCAAAACAGAGATCCCAGCATTTACTCACTATTACAGTATTGGATCAGAACGATAATCCATCGACCGCAAGGAGTTTACACATAGCTGTCTCTCTTTTTAATGGTGACTTACCTTCCAATGTCAAGCTGGCCGATGTTCGTCCAAATGATATAGACATTGTGGGCGATTACCGGTGTCGCCTTCAGAAGAATCCCAACCTAGGTGAAATTCAGCTGGCCATTCCAAGAGCATGTGATCTGGTGACCACTTCACACTCCACTCCAATAGCTTCTGTCTTTAGCTATACGGGTAACGATGGAAAGCACGGGGACGTTGGCTCCAAGGCGAGTGTGTCGTTCCAGAGCTTCAACAATGAAACCCTGGCCAACTCGGTGTCTATCCTAGTGCGAAATATGACAGCCAGTCACTTTTTGGTTAATCACTATCGACCCATGCTGGAGATGATCAAGTCCAGGATGGCAAACGAAGATGAGGTTATACTGTATAGTCTTTTGGAGAGCACTGCTGGTAATTCCACAAGTCTCCAGGTGATATTGGCTGTAAGATTGGCCAAGAGCAACTACCAACAACCCAGACATTTGATTGAACGCCTGAGGGAGAAGCGTTCGGCTTTCTCGGAACTCCTGCAAAAAGAGGTGATTGTGGGCTATGAACCCTGCAGCGAACCGGATGTGTGTGAAAATGGTGGAGTTTGCAGTGCCACCATTCGATTGCTAGATGCCCATAGTTTTGTGATCCTAGACAGTCCCTCCTTGGTGCTAAGTGGACCAAGGATAGTGCACGATTATAGTTGCCAGTGCACCAGTGGATTCTCGGGAGAGCAGTGCAGTCGCAGGCAGGATCCTTGCCTCCCAAATCCTTGTCATCTACAAATGCAATGCCGTCGCTTAGGCAGCGATTTCCAGTGCATGTGTCCTCCGAATCGGGATGGCAAACTCTGCGAGAAGGAGCGCAGTGATGTGTGCTACAGCAAACCGTGTCGCAATGGAGGAAGTTGCTACCGCAGTCCCGATGGATCCTCCTACTACTGCCTTTGTCGTCCTGGATTCCGGGGCAATCAATGCGAAAGCGTTTCAGACTCCTGTCGCCCGAATCCCTGCCTGCACGATGGTCTGTGTGTGAGCCTGAAGCCGGGCTACAAGTGCAATTGCACCCCCGGAAGATATGGACATCATTGCGAACGCTTTAGCTATGGCTTCCAACCGCTGTCCTACATGACATTCCCCTCGCTGGATGTGACCACCAATGATATTTCTATTGTCTTTGCCACCACGAAACCGAACTCCCTGTTGCTCTACAATTACGGGATGCAGAGTGGCGGCAGATCTGATTTCCTAGCCATCGAATTGGTGCATGGCAAGGCGTACTTCTCTTCCGGAGGAGCTCGTACCGCCATTAGCACCGTGATTGCTGGTAGGAACCTGGCCGACGGAGGTTGGCACAAGGTCACCGCCACGCGAAATGGACGGGTCATGTCGCTCAGCGTGGCCAAGTGCGCGGATTCGGGTGATGTGTGCACGGAATGCACGCCGGGAGACTCCAGTTGCTATGCCGATGAAGTGGGACCCGTGGGGTGAGTAAACTCAAATAGGGTTAACCTAAAAAACATGAAAAATTGTATTTTACATTGTGAGCAAAATTGTCGACATGTGTGTCAAATACAAAAGTGCTAAAATGTGAAAAATAATAGCGCACATGTGCTTTTTACACAATGTGTTATTAACACGACGTGTATTTTATACACTATGTTTTTGACACAAATGAAAATTACATGTTAAACACACGTCGTGTAAAATGACATGTGTGTTATTTATGTTTCTCACATATGTTAGATACTTTAACTTAACACTTGGAAATTTAACATGTTAATAACACAAGTTTTTTTATCTATCTATCCCACAGAACGCTCAACTTTAACAAACAACCCCTGATGATTGGTGGCCTGTCCTCGGCTGATCCGATACTAGAGCGACCTGGTCAGGTGCACAGTGACGATCTGGTGGGCTGTCTGCATAGTGTGCACATCGGAGGAAGATCCCTGAACCTGAGTTCACCTCTTCAACAGAGGGGTATTCTGCCGGGATGCAATCGACAGGCTTGTCAACCGGCTTTGGCGGCCGAACGCTGTGGAGGATTCGCAGGACAATGCATAGACCGCTGGTCGAGTTCCCTTTGCCAGTGCGGTGGACATTTGCAGTCGCCCGATTGCTCGGATTCCCTGGAACCCATTACCCTGAGTGATGGAGCCTACGTGGAGTTCAGGATCTCGGAGATATATCGTCGCATGCAGCTACTGGATAATCTGTACAATAGCAAAAGTGCCTGGTCGGATAACCGGGAACGTCGGGCGGTGGGCAACTTTAGTACCGCCTCCCAGATCTACGAGGCCCCCAAGATGCTGAGTCTGCTATTCAGGACCTACAAGGAGCAGGGACAGATCCTCTATGCGGCCACCAATCAAATGTTCACCTCGCTGTCCCTCCACGAAGGTCGTTTGGTCTACTACTCCAAGCAGCATCTTGCAATCAATATGACGGTGCACGAAACATCGCAGCTAAATGATGGCAAGTGGCACAATGTCAGTTTGTTTAGCGAGAGTCGCAGCCTGAGGTTGATCATCGATGGTCGGCAGGTGGGCGATGAGCTGGACATTGCCGGAGTGCATGACTTCCTCGATCCCTACTTGACTACCCTGAACGTGGGTGGCGAGGCCTTCGTGGGTTGCCTGGCCAACCTTACGGTTAACAATGAACTGCAGCCTTTCAATGGATCGGGTAGCATCTTCCCCGAGGTTCGTTACCATGGAAAAATCGAATCCGGCTGTGGAGGAGACATGGGTCAAGATGCCGCTCAGGTAGCCGATGCTTTGAGCATCGGATTCACCCTCGTCATTGTCTTCTTCGTCATCCTGGTGGTTGCGATCCTCGGCTCCTATGTCATCTACCGATTCCGTGGAAAGCAGGAGAAGATTGGCAGCTTAAGTTGCGGTGTTCCGGGCTTCAAGATCAAACATCCTGGAGGACCAGTGTCGCAGAGTCAAGTGGATCACGTCCTCGTGCGTAATCTCCATTCGGGTGAAGCCCCTTCGCCACCCGTTAATGCGGCAGATCACCTACGTCCTCCGGTGGGAAGTCATCATTTAGTTGGACCCGAGCTGCTGACCAAGAAGTTCAAGGAGCCGACGGCGGAGCTGCCTCAACCAGGACAACCAGGACAGCAGCGACCCCAAAGACCGGATATCATAGAGCGCGAGAGTCCGTTGATAAGGGAGGATCACCACCTGGCCATACCTCCCCTTCATCCTGGCTCTGTGGATCTGGGTTCGGAGTACCCCGAGCACTACGACCTGGAGAATGCCAGCTCAATTGCTCCTTCGGATATAGATATCGTGTATCACTACAAGGGATATCGGGAAGCGGGTGGTATGCGCAAGTACAAGGCTAGTGTGCCGCCAGTTTCTGCTTATTCCCATCACAAGCATCAGAGTTCGGCGGCCCAACAGCAACAGCAGCAGCAGCAACATCGTCATGGAGCCCCCTTTGTGACCCGCAATCAGGCAGGTCAACCGCCCCCTCCGCCTACGAGTGCCTCTCGCACTCATCAAAGCACTCCGCTGGCCAGACTGTCGCCCAGTTCCGAGTTGAGTTCCCAGCAGCCGAGGATCCTCACTCTCCACGACATCTCGGGAAAGCCCCTGCAAAGCGCCCTCCTGGCCACCACCTCAAGTTCCGGTGGAGTGGGCAAGGATGTCCATAGCAATAGTGAACGCAGTCTAAACAGCCCGGTGATGTCGCAACTTTCGGGTCAGAGTTCAAGTGCGAGTAGGCAAAAGCCGGGAGTTCCTCAACAGCCAACGCAGCCGACTTCCATGGGTTTGACGGCCGAGGAGATTGAGAGGATGAACGGGAGACCACGAACTTGTAGTCTAATCTCCACCCTAGATGCCGTTTCCTCCAGCAGTGAGGCTCCCCGAGTCTCGAGCAGTGCACTCCATATGTCTTTAGGTGGCGATGTGGATGCCCACAGTTCCACTTCCACCGACGAAAGCGGAAATGATAGCTTCACCTGCTCGGAGATCGAGTACGACAACAATAGTCTGAGTGGCGATGGCAAGTACTCAACCAGTAAGAGCCTTCTAGATGGACGTAGTCCCGTTTCGAGGGCTCTCAGTGGAGGGGACACGACCAGCCGGAATCCACCGACCAGTGTGGTTAAGACGCCGCCCATTCCGCCGCATGCCTACGACGGGTTCGAGTCGTCCTTTCGGGGATCACTGAGTACTTTGGTAGCCAGCGATGATGATATCGCCAATCATTTGAGCGGAATCTATCGGAAGGCCAACGGGGCGGCATCGCCGTCGGCCACCACGCTCGGCTGGGAGTACCTACTCAACTGGGGTCCCAGCTACGAGAACCTGATGGGCGTCTTCAAGGACATTGCCGAACTGCCCGACACAAATGGACCGCCGCAGGCGCAGCAACAGCAGCAAACCCAAGTGGTGTCCACGCTGCGAATGCCGTCTTCAAATGGACCAGCGGCTCCAGAGGAATACGTGTAATATAAATACCGAATATAAACATATATCCAAGGGTGCCACATAAATCTCAAAAAAATCTAACCGTTCCAAAAACCTAGGCAAAGAAAATGGCATTTAAAACAGTGCTTTACTGCGTACGTGTGCCTCGAAACGCTGGCAGCGCAGCGGCTGAGAAACTGCCAATCCAATCCAATTTAAAACCAATCCTTCAGAAAATCGCTAGAGATTTACAAGGCACCCCCAAAATCCAAACTCGTATGACCGAAAACCAAGAGATATTCTCGGTAGCACGTAAATGTATTTGTAAATTTTGTGTAAAGTTGCAACCTTTCTTATTAGATCGTAAGTAATGCCATTTTATTTTGCAATGTACAACGAAAACGTAACGAGGATAGTAGTTAGTAAGTTAAGGAAAAGATAGTAAGCAACTCCGAACTTATCCGAACGCCTTGTATCAAGGTCAACCATCCTAAGTGCACTTCCGTTGAGGGTTCAAAAAACTGTAACGACTGATACTTCCGTACATTAACAAAATCCATAATTTTTTATTCATTCTTCTGTACTTGTGTATATGTTTTCTGAGTGCTATATTAAGATAGTTTTCAGCAACAGTATGTATTGAGTTTTTATCGCCATTTAAGTACATTTTAACATTGCTCTAATTTATTGACAATCTCGCCAACATCCCCTAACTGCCTTAGTCGTACTTGTAGACAATTAATTTCAGAGATACTTCGCATTCCTCTAGATATATAGTCTTAAATACCTTGTATATGTCTGTAAGTTTGTATTTTTAATTCGTAGTAAAATGTTATTAAATACATATTAACCATCGAAAATTGTTTTACTCTTTTGGAAAAAAGCTGAGAAAAATATGAAATAAATAAAAAATGAATTAATATTAAAAGAATATTTTAAAAGAATAACAAAACAAAATGCTCCCGATCTTTTAGACCCCATTATCAAAAAAAAAAACAATAAAAAGCATTCCCAAAACGATGAAATGGATCTGCTTATCTCACAATCACTGTTTTAAGTACGCGAAAAATGAATAATATTTTCTACTTTAATGTTTTACTAGGAAATTGATAACCATTTTTTTTTTTGCATTTTTGAATGTTCTGATATTACAATTTATTTATTACATTTTTAAATTGAAATTAAATTGAATGTAATGAATGTTTGAACGTTTCGGTTATTGAAGTTCCGCAGACTGGGAGTCGTGGTGTTCCGAAATTATTTTATAAAGATCAGCTAATTTCTTGTCTAAACTCTGAACATTTTCGAGTACGGACTGCTGACCTTTATCCAAGTTGACTTGCATTTCCAATTGGGCGCCCAGGGACTTTTGAATATCCGTCTGTTGGTCCTCCACCCTGCCAAGCCGGTCATTCAAGTCCTTCGGAACGACGTCCTTCAAAGATTCTTGCAGGGACGACTGTCCGCTCTCCATTGCCGCCAGAATCCGCCACATCGTTTGTTTCAGCTCAGTCGTTTCAGTTTTAAGTTTGTTGATCTCATCCACAAGGATTTTGGATCGGTAAGCCGCAATATGATCTAGCAACGGTAGCATTTGCCGCAGCGGGTGGTTTGGGTCCTTTATTAGAAGACTGGTGAAGTCATCGTCAGTGGGTTTTGCCTGGGACCCATAGAGATTGCAGGCAATGAATACGATCGCAAGACAAATTCCGAGTTTAAGCATTTCAACCACCGATGTCGAACTTTCAAAGTGAACTGATGCTGAAGCTAGACTTGGACTAGCTTTTAAAGACCCCAGATAATGGAAAAAATAACAAATAATCTCTATGACGAACAGTACAAGGAAATGATTAGGGGAATTTTCAAATGCGGTTATTTCAAAATTTTGGTAATCTCTTCCGTAAATATGGTGTATATGTATTTAAAAATAAAATATAAATATTTTTTTTAATTTCTTGATTTTACATTTTGTGATTCGCATAATTTTGAAAATAGGCTCGTTTTATAATTAGGTATACTGAGAATATTTTGCCAATAATAAAAATGTTTAGGAGATGATTATTTGTTGCTGATTATTTCGTTCGAATTTTTTAATAACTGATTCGAATTATAGTCTTATACGAAATCAGCTTAAATATTTTTTTTCGAAACAGAGACTTAAGAGATGAGTAATAAAAATTCATCAGCGGAAATATCATTAAATGGGACTATTAAAAATTTTGCTAGAAAAATAATAAATCATTAGGTTTTTCTAGTTATAAAATAAAGATTTTTTGAAAAAATAAGGAAATAATTCTTTGATAAAAAAAGTTCAACAATTGCATTTTAATGTTACAAATGTTGATGTATAATTTGTTAAGTTATCTTCACTTATTTTGATTCTTTTGTTTAGTATATTTGTGGAATTACATAGTAACCATATCTAGTAAATAGAAGTTGCCGAATTTTAAGGAAACGATTAAGGGGATTTTCACATGCGGTTATTTCTACATCTTGGTAATCTCTTCTGCCATTTTTGGCGCCCATTTTCAAAAATACTCGATAAGTCCCGATAACTTAGCCATGGGCACTCTAAAATGTACGCAGGGTTAGAGGAGACACGAACCATTAGAATATGGGCATACTAAAATGCACGTGGGCTCGGCTACATTTTAGTGTGACCGTACGAACTAGTCGCAGTTTCCCCACCTCTAGCACAGCTGTTCTATCTATAAATATATCGATGTCGTCAATATTCGATAGCTTCCGATAGTTGATAATATCGATGTTTCCCCACCTCTAGCGCACAGCTGTTCTGTTCGCGCTGAAAATGAATTAAAAGTAATTTTTCGGACAAAAACGGGAAAGAAACCGTAAATACGTGTGATAAACAATCTGACAAGCCGCTGATAACAGAAAGGTCACTTGAAAAGGTCAAAACTCGTGGAATTTGATACAAAATAAAGTGAAACCGCCTAATTAGAAAAAGAGAACCAAAGTGTGCGCAAAAAGTGAAAGTGCATACAGAATTCTGCCGCCCACGCCCCCTCTTCTTTTAAAGGTGGTGGCAGTAACGCCCCTTTGCCCCCACCACCCCCTCTGCGCGTGTGTGTGTGTGAGTGTGCGTGGCGTGCGCCTGTGTTGCGCGACCTTCACGCAACCTTCAACATGCAGCAACACGTTGTGTGTAATCTAACATTTTGCCAATAAAGCAAAAGCAACAACAACTACGAATCGCAATAAAAAGCTAAAAAATAAAAGAAAAACAAATCAAATCAACCGGCTGCCAATGGCAACACAAACAAATTCTCCCAGCAAACAAAAAACTGCATTTCGCTCTCCCACTCTCTATCTCTCCCTCTCTCTGTGGGGCTTTCGCTCTCTCTTGCTTAACCCGTTCGCTTTTGCGATTTGAATTCTGATTGGAATTTCATTTCAACTTCAAAACTTGGGCGGTAAAGTTCAGCACGCGATAAACTAGTGATCCTTATAAGATAATACAAGACTATTCGCCTTATCAAAGCACCGAATGAAATCGTGTCAGTTTAATTGATAACAGGCCCTACATAAAAATCGGGTTTTATATCGCCCTATGCAAATTAGCACGTATTCATTAGCATTTCAAAAGTTTCGCTATTTTGCGTTTTAGTTTCGTTTTCGTTACCCGGTGATTGTGAAATAAATACCCTGGGTTTTAAAAGCTAAACAAAGATCGAATAAATACGAATTTTATTTGGATAAAAAGTGCTGAATATTGAAAAATATTTAAATATCTAAAACCCTGAAATCTTGAAAATAATCATATGCATTTTTGAAAACTCCTCAAAAATAAAGGAAACGTAGTTTGATTAAGTTTAACCTCTAGAAATCGAATAAATACGAATTTTATTTGGATAAAAAGTGCTGAGTCTATGTATTTTAATTGTACCGTGAGCTTTTATAATATATTGCAATTTCTTATGTATTTTTAAAGAACCCCTTAAAAATTAAAGATACATTATTTAGATTCTTTTTAATCTTTTTAAGTCGAACAATTACGAATTTTATTTGAATAAAAAGTGCTGAACATTTAGAAATATTTAAATCTTTAAAAACCTGTATTTCGGTATTTATACTTTCATACTTATCAAAAAACTATATTTTAATTGTAACGTTAATTATTTATGAAATCTAAAAAAAACTCATATGAATTTTTTAAGAACTTCTAAAAAATTAAAGATACATTATTTTGAATATTTGTAACCTTTTTAAATCAATATTATCAAACAAAACAGCGCAATTACCGCTTATTCAAATTCTCATAATAGTTTCAATTGCATTACTCGTGCTAAATTATTTGCACACGGGCGCAAAAAGATCGCGTTACGTCATTTGATCTGAAACAATTTACAATCCTCCTCCAGCAGCGTCAATTGCAAAACAATTTTCTGCCTTTTACAGATAAACGGCACAAAAGTTCAACGGCACTCGGTCGATTAAAAATAAGCCAAACCAGCAGAAACAATTAATTAATTTGTTTATTTGGCACATTAATTGCCGCCAACGAGTCGCGTGTGTGAACGAACTAAATAGAATTGCGGACCAACTGGCACATCAACAGAGGCCCAAAGCCATATCGAGATATCGAGAGAGATATAGCAGATATAGCGCGAGATTCCACACAGATCGGCGACAAAATGAATGACCGTGAGTTAGGCTGTGCGGGCGGCCAGTTTATGGATCGCGGGCGGATGAATCAGAATGGAGTTGTCCAGCCCCTGCTTACTGGTAATTAACAAAGTATTTAAGGCCAACAGATGGCTATAAATATTACCCAACTAATAATAACTAATTATAAAATTTGTACATTCATTTGCATTTAAAATAGGCAGATTGTAAATAATATCTAAAAAGGCAGTGCTTTGTGATATGTTAAGATTAAAATTGCAACATATTTAACAAAAATATTTATTTCAAATGGTATGGGAAGATGTTAAATTTTGTATTATATTAAACAAAATTATTAGGTTTATTATCAAATGTTTTAGTTAAAATAGCAGTAAAAAAAACATAATTTCTCATCCTAATCCTAAAACCATAATTATTTTTCCCAATTCTTTAAAATCCCTTAAAAATAGGTGGTTTTTTATTTCGATTTTAAGATCTCAAAACCCGACTGACATTTAGGCAGAGACATTTTGGCGCGCTATGCGATGCTTTTGTCGGCTTTTACGAGTCTACCTCTCTATATATACCCCGCATATATTTTTAGGCATTGCAGACACGGGCGCAAATATATAAAAATAAAAAACAAAAAACCGATCTTTAGGTCTTTGCACTTAGATAAGAATTTGCATTTCATTTGCGGCTCGTGTTTTTGTATTTGGGTAGCGTTAATTGCCCTCATCATCAGCTATAGACTTTCCAGGTTATCTTATCTGCCGCGATTCTAGGCTGAAATTGTGGCTACTATGTATGAACAGGGAAGCCTAATTAAGTTGTACCATAAATATAAATAAATAAATAAATAAACAACTCATTATTACTCAACTCATTAATTTTATTACAAACGTATTTTATCTATAAGCTTTTAGTTTTTCAAATTACATTTGTTTTACTGTACTTGTGCCCCGTCCCATGTTATTAATAATAATGTTAATAATATTACAGATTTGTATCAAATAACAATGGCCTATGCCTACTGGAAGTCCGATAAGACCGATGATACGGCGGTATTCGATCTGTTCTTTCGCAACAATCCATTCCATGGTGAATTTACTATTTTCGCCGGGCTCGAAGAGTGCCTGAAATTCCTGGATAGCTTCCACTATTCCCAAAGCGGTGGGTATTATATATATTTTTTGTTTTTGATTCATATTAGTTAATCAATTCGATTGGACCCCTTTTCAGATATCGAATACCTAAAGCAAACACTGCCCGAGGGCATCGAGCACGAGTTTTTCGAGTACCTCGGCAATCTGACGGCGCGGGATGTCACCTTGTATGCCATTGATGAGGGCACGGTAGCATTTCCACGGTGCGTTTGCATGGGATCCATGGGATTAGTAGATATTGTCTACATAAACATTGTATATTGTACACTACTTTTGGTTTTTAGAAGATTGAATCTGAGCCTATACAAATATTTAAAGTTTAGCTGATTATTTTATACAAAAGTCATTATAAAATTAATTTTTTGTACTATTACAAAGTACAAGTATTGTTCATAACTTGATGCATTCATTTAAAAGTATATTTTATTCTTAAAGATATTTTTAGAGCAGTCATCAAAACAGTCAGCACGTATTTAATCAGAGAATTACTTTATGGTTATTCTATGTAGTCAGCATTATGATATGCCTGCATTGCAACTGATAAGTCTGGAGATATTTCAGGTTAATCAAAGTTCAGTTCAGACAATGCTATCTAAAAACCAAAGTTTAGGGCCCAGGATTATCTTTAAGATAACATAAGCTTGAATATAAAATGTTTACAAAATATTTGCTATTTTTAGAGTTCCCATCATAAAGATCGAGGGACCTTTGATCATCGTACAGCTGCTGGAAACGACTCTTCTCACCTTGGTAAATTATGCCAGGTAGGAATCGCATTTATTTCACCCGCATTATCTGGAAAAGTCCTAATAATGTTCGTTTTTTGCCACCCAAATAAACAGCTTAATGGCTACCAATGCAGCCCGTTATCGCATGGTAGCTGGGAAACATGTCAAACTATTGGAATTTGGACTGCGTCGTGCCCAGGGAC